AAAAAAAAAAATAAAAAAAAAAATAAAATAATGTATTAATTTTGCCCATATAAACAAATATTCATTTCAGGGAGGGCGGGGCTTACCCCGGGGGGGGGGGAAGAAAGCCAAAATGGTGGCCATGATCACATGACCACAGCTGCCATCTTGACTTTATGGTCCCCTCCCCCTCCTCAACCCCTCCCCCAGCTAGTAAGGGGATCCTGAGAACTCTACACCAACATCTCTCCAGGGAGTGGATAGGCTGCTTTGATTTCACCGGATGTTAAAATGAAAGAATAGCTTTTGTAAAAAAAAAAAAATGTAGAGGAAGATTTTCAAAAGGAAGGAAAAAAAAAAATGAGTGGGAAAAATACCTAAACTAAAATTAAGTATTATTTAGTTTCTGATGCTCATGAGAGCAACTGTCCTTATTTAGTCTGACACAAAATACATGTTTTAGCGTTTTAAAAAACACCCTGGAATTACTGGGATTACTCCTATAAAATTGCAATAGTAAAGGAAGCACCTGGATTGATAATTTAGCACTCTCTAATGTTGGCAAAAGACTTTATCATAAAAATGAAAGGTTGGAAGACTATTATTAGTGAGAATTGCAAAAAGATTACATGTTGATATATGTACTGTAATAAATGCTTTATCTTTAATTTGTGTTTTTACTAACGTGAGCTACGAATGAGAGAAACTTTAAGCAAGCGCTGATTAAATTTGATGTCAGAAACAGAATGCCTAAGACAGAATAAAGCTAATTTCTTTCTCAACAAATGCTTGCAATGTTCTTTGAAATTATACAGACTAGCCTGCAAACAAAGTAAAAGATGCTGGTGTTCTCCATCATGACCTTCAGGATCAAATAGAAGCTGCAATCCTCAACACACTTACCAGCACATATTATCCACTTCCACATGGGGAACTCGCTAGCAAGGGAACATACTTCAATTCTATTCATGTTCACATTTAATTTAGGAGTAACCCCCTTGTATTCCATGGATGTTTGAAAAAAAAAACTATGATTTCAGCAGGCCCTGGTACATCTTCCTCACCACAGGGGCTAGACACGTGTTTTTATAAACAAAAACAATATTATCTTTTTCAGGAAGATGGATTCTATAATCCATCTTCACTTTTTCTGGACTCCAGCAAAACTGTGGAATATGCAATGTCCTGGAAATTAACTTGAGCAAAATATGTTTATTTCTAATTTGCTATAAAGCCACCAAGCATCGTCCAGTACTTTCTTTCTGGTGCAATGCTATTGGCAAATCATAACATGTAGCTCTGACCTAATTTGTATGACTCACTAAGCCATGTTAATCCTAGCATGACATTACAAGCAGGACCATTGGCTAAGTTAAAAGCAGGGCACTTTAATCATAATTTGTATTCGTGATTTGTTGTGGTCTTACCTGATCTGCCCATGGTTTCCTGAGTCACATAACCTCAAATTTCTACAGCAGAAATTTGCTGTGCTCTGCTCTTTCTTTTACTCACTGGGTCCACACAAAAAATTGCTTTTTAAAATATAGGGGCTGGTGGGAAAACCACTTCAATTTAAAAAAAGGGGGGGGGGAATAGCGAAACATAATCTCTGTCCCATCAAAGATTGTTGGGACATACACATCACTTTGAACAAACATCTCCTGGAGCATTTCCTGTGTTCTGGCACTGCTCACTGCTCCATGGATAAGTTTCTTACCCATAGTTAGCGTTAACCATAGACAGGTCTGTCATACGATCATGCTTTAAATGTCTTAGGTGAAGAAATAAGCTTTCACTCCCAGGATGGATTGGGAAGATTATGTTTTCAACTACGGTTGGATCTAGACTTTTTGGATCTTTCTTTTCTGCCCTCAAACCCCACAACCTAGCATCAATCCTTTTTATAAGGTGTTAGGTTAGGAAGTTTGGGGGTGAGAAAAAAAAAGGACGATTAGACTCTACTGGTCCTGATAAAAGGAATACATTCCATCACCTTTCTAATTCCTTCTCCTTCAGTATCAGATGAAACATCCTTCCATTTAGTTATCTGTGAATGGAGAAGAATTTCAGTGGCATTCCTATTTATGGTATTATAGTGCAGAGTTCTCCCCTCCCCTGTCCAAAATATTGATCAGTGATTTGGGGTGGGGGTCAACATACATTCACTGATAAAAATAGAAGTTGTTGAAAACAAAGAAATTAGCAAGAAATGCAAGTGTCTTCAGCCTTCATCACTGAAAAATAACAATACATTTAAAGATCACAAGATTTTTCAGGCCAAGAGTTGTATTTAGTCTTTGACAGCATGGACATTCAGTAAAAGCTGCAATGATATCACAATGATGCTACATGGGTCATGACATCACTGCACAAATTATCTTTGGTCATTGCAGTTAATGCAAACTACACGATCACGTCATATGTGCCCTGACAACATGGGGCATGTGATGTCACTTCTCCCCCAATGGACACCCAGGTTTGAGATGTCCCAGAGGCTACATTTCAAAAAGTAAACAAACCGAGGACAATCCGATGGTCAGACTAGGCCACCCACCCCTAACTGATCTGATTTAATGTTAAACTAATGAAAATAATTAAAGGTTGTTAATATAATGCTACCCATGCATTTACTAATTTCTTCTTCCTGCCACATTGAACTTTATAATTCACAATGGAATTGGGTGGGGTTCTGGTGCTCCTGAGGGGTGCCTATTCTCTTGGGGTTTGGCTTGAGCATCCCTGCTATAGTCTTTCATATGCTTTTTCTAAGACCCTGATGCTGGGAAAGATTGAAGGCAAAAGGAGAAGGGGAC